ATGCCATCGTGCAAGGTCTTGTACATATGAAGGTAACAGAGGGAAAAAAAAGGTGGGGGAGCAGTGGTTATAAAAAAGAAAAGATGCAGCTCACCGCAAGTCTGGACATCTCCCCATGCGCCGCAAGCTGCAATGCAAGGCTCCTCTGCTGGCTTGGTTTCAGTGCACCTTCCACAAGGCCTGCAGCTGCTAGGCGCTTCAAGGCGGCCATAGCGATATCCCGCTGCCCGGTAGCATCTGCAGCATCGATTAGCTCAAGGAAATCCTGAGCGAAACGTGTGACTCCAGCCACTGATTGTGCCGTTGAGCTTTGATGCGTTCCGAGCGCCAAGACCCCAAGGCTTTCTACTGATTCTGCTTCGGCAGCTGCAAAGTTTTTCGTCCCACTCATGCTGAGCAAGCAATGAAGCGCGCGCGGCAATTCTCCGCAATTGATTGCCAAGTCGAACTCAAGCCTGCAAGAAAACAGGTAGGTTATTATTCCATGAAATCCATACCACCCTCCTCTGTTCTTTCTTCTTTTTCCGAGTTTTTCGCAATTTCTTTCCCACAATTTTCTGGAATTTTTTAATTCCTCATACAACTAACTTGAACTAGGCCATATATCAAAGGATACTGGAACCAGACTGTCACTCCCTACAATTGGTTTTTCAGGTCTCCCAGCTACAAGTACTGTCGCGTGATGGTTCATCATGCACGAATTCAACATGGCACAGGCAGTCCCGTACACCCAGCCCGCACCCAACCTGTATACAAGCCCAACTTTCAGAGACACTGGTGGTTAAAAAAAAAAAGGGAAATTGGAAACCAAAAGACCCAAACGAATAGAGTCAGACAGGAAGGGGGGAAGGCAAAAATGTGATGGATGTCGGACGGAGCAAAGAACTCTGCATAAGACAACCAACCGCGAGGCTACGCCCGCTTAGCCCCTACGGGCCCTTATTTGCAGCAAGGTCGGCCGCCCTAAGTGAAGGCAGGCACGACAGGCCCTCAGGGCCTCGWTTTTCAGGGTACCCCGCAACTGGGGAAATTCAGGCAGTTGCGCAGCGCCAGTTGGTTGAATGAACTCAGGCCCTGGGCCGCCTGTGTGAATGAATGTAAAGCAGGCCCTGGGCTGGATACGGGACCGGGCCAAGCACAGGCCGAAAGCAGTTGGGCACATGCAACCACTTCAGGCCCAAGGCCTGCGTTCCTTGTGACTGGGCCTCAGGCTACCGGGGCCTACTGGAAGCTTCCTGGACTGGACGCAGGCAGGCCACTTCGATATAGGGCAGGGCCTGCCTCCTCATTCGGCATTCGGGTGCTGGCTGCATGCTGCGCAAGCGCTGCTGCTGCGCTATTTGCTGGCTGACGCCTACGCTCTCACGGGCGAGCAGGGAAGGAGCACGCAGCCATAGCCAAGCTGCGCTGCTGTATGCTGGCTGAAGCGCAGGGTGGTCCTTGGGTGCTAGTGGCATCTGTGAGTTGGGGAACGAGGTTGTGAGGGTAGCGCAAGACATACCTGGTGCTGACGCGTGCGACATTGGTCGCCATATGCTCGTACTTCTGTTGATGTCATCATTCTGCTTCGTAGTATAGGCTAGATAGGATCTGCCACATGTAATCTGGGCGCTGAGCGCCAATAGGATATCAACTCTGGTTCTTCGCTGATGATGATGGGACTACTTCAGCATTGTCAATGATGAACTCTTGGTGTGTTCTTATTTGGTGTATCTCGTGATGCAATTCTGCGTTTGGTTCGAGGTCAAGACTGTCTGGACTCATATGTATGATGCTGTTTGATTGTTGGAGTTCGCTATCACTCATCTTCCTTGCACAACGGTGCACCTTTTTTTTTTTTTTTTTTACCCCTATATGCCTGCCTACCCTCGTCAACAAAAAATGGTGACGCCGGCTACACCTCTACGAGGACAACAACAGTGATGACACCAACAAGAAAAAACAACAGGGACAAGGAGAACCAGCACTACCATGGGCAAGCAGAAGCCGCAGCAACAAAAAACTGCCTACAAGACAACCACCAATACCTCGACCTTGTGGCTGAATGGAACAGAATGACACATGCATACAGCTGTTCATAAACAGATCCAACGTTCAAGTCCTGTCCGATACAATGAGGTTAGGGCCCCACATCTACCGCACCCTCGCTCCCCCAAAGACACAACCAACACTCGCTAGTAACCCCTCCACAAGCAGCGGCGTGTTCGCAATGACCATTGAAAAGCACAACCATCACATGTGGGACAACAATAGAACACTTTATGGTAACAAGTGGACCTGCCGTAGCTACGCTGCGGCCGTGGAGGGGGAGCAAAGGCGGAGGCAGGAGTGAGAAATACTGGGTGAAAAAAAAAAAAAAAAAAAAGACGACGACGAATGTACGTCTCTTTCGCTTTTTCTCTCCCTGTCAAAAAAAAAAAAAAACAGATAGCGGCGATAGAGAGAATAGCAGAGTGTGTGTGTGTGTGTGTGTGTGTGTGTGTGTGTGTGTGTGTGTGTG